CGGTGCCGACGTGCTTCCACTAAATTAATGCCACGTCAACTCTATAACCAAATTAATGAACACTTTTTTTTCTTTTTTTTTGAAGCAGTTTAAAACTTGAAAAATAATATATAATAATTCATTTGTAAAAAAAAAAAAATAGAGTACACTGTACACCAATCAAGATGAAATTTCCTACATTTTTAAGGGAGTTTTATTACCCGAAAACAATCAAGAATTCGATTCTAGGTTTATTGCGAATAATTTCCCCTTTTTTTGCTTTTAATGTCCTTTTCTATTTATGGTTAAACATGATATTATATTAATTTGGTAAATAGTGAAGTAGAAAGGTAGGGATTTAAATGTACTCGGACTATAGAATAAATGTTTAGAAAATGAGTCAAATTGAGTATGATTCAATTTTTTAATGCATATATTTTTCATTAAAAGGTCTTTGAACCCGTACCAACAAAATGTTTAAAAATAAATATTCCTTCTTACAAAATTATTACAATTGAACTTAAAATGCACAAACAATCATAGATGCTATTGTTACCATTTATCTTTTAAGTTATTATTTCATTCTATAAAATTTGAATATTATAATATTAACCATAGAAAAAATTTTATATTCACATTGATGTTGAGTAAATGTCTAGATTATGGAAATAAAAAATTGATGTAAAAAAATTGGTTTGATGATAACAATATACGTACTCAAAGTTTATGGATTGTTTGTAAATGTTGGAGTATTTAAGGATTTAATTGTAGTGACATAGTAAATTTAGGAGGGTGATCGACTAAATTTAAATTTTGAGGGTCGTCCAACCCTATAACGTAGAAGTGGTTTAATTTTTGCAAATTTTTCTATATTTTGAATATAAACAAACTAGACTTATATTTTCATGTTAGCTCAACCTATAGGTTTTAAATATTGTTATGGGTAAAGTATAAGATCGACACGTGGACTTGGACTGGAGCTAGTCCACCGAGCTAAGGAAGAAAGGTGCACTTCGCACGATAAGCAAGTTATTTTAATTCATTTCTAGGGCAGAGTTCGTCTAACTGAAAATTAGCTGACATTTAATGGAAGGACGATTATGCTATCAGAATATCTTAACACCAGTACGAAATCATCTTTGTTGACAAGTATGGATCATGACCACTTAAGCTCGATCCCCCAAATGTTCCTTTCGTATAAGGAGGGTCAAACTTTAGGTACGCAATATCTTGTACCTAATTTCTAGCTCACTACTTTGCTCTATCGATTTGAGTACTAGCCTAAACTTCGGAACGTATTTGGTCGAGTACAACGAAAATATACATAGATATAGAGAAGTTTATAAAAATATATATAGTTGTATTGCCTATTCTGCCTATTTCATGGACTATACATTATTTCAAAATGCTTCTTACTTGGCTGTCAATACAATGAAAAATCTTCCACACTATTGTTAATTAAAAAAATTTCGTCAATTAATTTTCTTCAATTAGCATATGTCGTATTTATCATTAAATTATAAATTCAAAATTTATCGTGCAATTGCCAAATCAACCGACATTGTTCAATTACCAATGTCATGCGATCATTCAAATATAGTATTGAATTATAGAAGAAAAATCAACTTTATTACCCTTAACTTGAATAAAATGTTACATTTTTTTTTTGTCTTAAATTTGAATAAGTGTCGCATTATTTCTTACGTTATGATTCGTTTTTATTCTAATAATTGTTAGTAAAAGCATTATCATATATATGTTCAATGAACTATAAAACATACGTGATATGAACTTTGATAGGATTTTAGAGAACAACGATATCAGAGTTGAAATTTGTGAGTTTTGACAGAGTTATTCAACTATTGATTTTGTGCATTGATAAAACTTAATTTCGTGCAAAGTTGGTTTTTATTCCAGTCAATAAGTTTTTATTAGAAATTTTTATTTTTAATTTTTTGTTAAAACCATTGGGTAAATTAGCGATGATTAATATAAAAATTGCTACATTTATTCGAAACTAACATCTAATTCGACGAGTCAACATAAATTTAGGTCAGCGATAAATGACATCTACTTCTTCTATAGAAGTTGAAGATTCAAACTCTCAACCATGACTCATTGATTCAAATGGGCTAAGGTAAATTGAATGTGAATGGATTCAAAACCTTCATGATTGGCACCTACCTTAGGAATTAATTCTATGGTTTCTCGTCCCATAAGATTAGTTGAGGTGCGCACAAACGGGTCTCGACACTCACGGATATCTAAACAATAAAGATTCAATCCCTCTATCCAACTTATTGTACTGAAAGAAATATCAAATTTAATCGAAAGTTTTTAGAATAAATATTAATAGGCAGTGGAGCCACAGTAAAACGTAACTTTGTTTTTGTTGGTAATAATTAATATGACAATTAAAAATTGTAAGGAGTGGTTTTGAAAAGGCCCCCACTGCCATACTTTGTTTAAGAAGAGGAAACGTTGAATGAATGAAGTGATGGGAAAGTCAGGTTGTGTCGATTCGACTGAAAAACCCACCAAATTTGTATTTCCCAAAATATTAATTATCTCATCACTCATGCTCCTCCATATAAACTAAAACTCTTCTATGCTCCTAATATGTAAATTACCCATTTGCATGTGCTCTTCCATTTCCATTAAAATCTCCAATTAATTCTCATTTCTATGTGTCGTTGACTTGAATAACTTAATGACTCCGCGTACACTTAGAATTTCTTTAAAATTGAAGGTTCCATCCATTGAACTTGTAAAGAGTACAAACAAAGTCTTAGATTGGCCAAGAGAGAAGAAGAGTATCCGTATATATGTGATCGATAACATCTTCATTGATATGAAATCTTTTGCGTGAAATCAAAAGTAAAGTCGTGAAGGTTATACTTAAAGCGGGACAATATCGTATCATTATGAGTTTACGATTGTTTTTTCTTTTCTTTTGTATTATACCTCACCTTACAATTGAATATAAGAAAAAAAAAATTAATACATGAATAATGAAATTAAAATTTTCAAACAATTAAAGATGTAATAAAAGAAAATGAAACAAAAATACTAAAAAGAATGAACACAAGGCTAGTATAGTAAAAGAGGTGGATACAATAATTTTAGTTTGACAAAATGCTATTGAAATGAATGTCTCACCAAGAAATTGGCAGCATTATTTTATTTTGAATGGAGATATGTAGATAGAGGTACTTAAAAGCCTATGAAAGGTTACATAGGATGCTTTTAGACCCTAAACTTTGAAAGAAGAAAACTAAATTCCTTGGTGTGGGTTTCATGCTACTTTTTTTTGTCACCCTAAAATAGGTCAACTGAATTAAGGAACTTAAAATAAATAATAATAAATCAATATAAAAAGGTTAAAAATTAAAAAAAAGGTAAAATAAATGAAGACCCGGATGAAGTAACAAAACGAGCGAATATGAATTTAGCTCAGCGATAATTGACATATGTATATGACAAGAGTTTATGAGTTCGAATCTCCCACTCACTTGTTGTACTAAATTTAAAAAAAAAAATCAACAAAACAAACCCTTTCATAGTAAAATGTGTCATAGATATTAATTATTATTTTCAAAAAGTTCAGGAAATAAAAAAAGAATTTTTTTATTATTTTTAAAAAATAAAAAGTCGACTACAAAAAAAATGGATTTACAAAAATTGTATAGCAGTAGATTCTAAAATCTACAGAAGTAATAAAGAAAAAGTAAAAATCAGTAACTATTAAATCATTTCTTTTTAATAATATTTCTGTTTCTTCTTTTCACTCTTAGAAAATGAAGGTACGTATGTGTTGGGTGGGTAACTCTATCAAGTTTTTTTTTTTTTTTTCAAGTTTGTTGTCTAAGGAATGTTTTCCGAAAATTGTATATAAAATTTAGAAACTTTTATTTTCTTTTTCTTTTTTTTTTACTTAATAATTCTTTTAAGGGCACTATTAAATTACCTTTTAGAAGATTGGGAGGAAGAAACATGGTAATACACTTGATCCCATGAGCTCATGGAATAAAAGTATTCTTCTATTCCTTTTTTTTCCTGCTTTTAACGAGGAACAATTGCTAATCCAAGCCAATAAACTATTTAATTACCTTTCAAAGGACACTATGAAATGACATTGTAAAGAATTGTGTGGAAAAACATGGTAATGCAGTTGCCCCATGAGCTCAGGAATCCGAGAAATAGACATAGTAAACTGGCAACAATGCACTTCTTACCCAATATACTCTGTAAAAAATCATAAACGATTGCCTTTTAAAGGACTGTGGAGGAGTAAAAATGCTACGAGAAAGAGATAGAGATGCATGATAAAATGAAGAAGCACTCGAAGGAAAATTTTTCAAATACTTCACGATGCTGTGACGTGGTTGACAATGAAGAAGAGTAGCATACTTATCAATTTTCTTAATATTACAATTCGAGCATGATGAAAGTTTAAACATCTAACTTTTGAAAAATTGACTACACTATCAAGTCGTCGACCTTCTCGTTCATTGAATAATTCTGGCAAGCCTCTTTTATTTAGTTCAATTTTATTTGAACGTAGCCCAATAGATAAAATATCTATTATCATTTTAAAAGTCGATGATTCGATCCCCAACCCGACCGTTATTGAACTCAAAAAATAGCTCAAACTTGTATGCAAAAATGTTGATGCCTTGTAAAAAGCGGTTGTCAAGTAATTTATGCAACAACACATAGGATTTCTTTGACAACTATTTAGGTAGAACTTGGAAGAGGTAAAGGGGGCTATGGTCTATTGAGATGGCATGGATATATATATCATATCAAATATTAAATATCTAAAATGTCCAATATATATTTAGGCAGGCACAGCAGAAGAATGAATGTCTGGTAATTAAATGTAAACCGATGCTAATTAATTATTAATGTTACTTATTCATTATAATTTATATATTTAGCCTAATTAAAACTATGGTACTTTCTCAAACAAATAGTAATAATAATTAAAACTAGGGTAGATAATTAGTAGTAATAGAAACTTGTGATAAACCATGATTTCGATTAAATTTTGATTAGTTCATACCCCTCATCTCCCAGGAGCAGAAAGAGCTAGGCTGGGAGGATAATTAAATTTCATGGTGAGCGCAAATATTTTAAACCACGAAAACGAACAATAAAAACATGATAAACAATTATAAACATTTTCTCAAAAAAGAGAAAAAAAAAGATCAGCAGTTATAAACAAACATAGGTATGGTGAAAGATGAGGTTGACCTTGGCCATGGAGTGGTTGCATCAGTATCAGTCGTCTCATACACGAAGGCGTTGGAGCTCAAGAATATGTGAACTCATCAGAGTTGTCCCATTTGTAATGTTTTTGTTACTGCCTTTGCACTGCTGCAACTCCTCCCGGAGGCTTCGCACAACTTCATTCAGCCTCTGGATGTTCCTTTCTTGTGACAATATGATCTACACCAACAATTCATTACATTTACGATACCGAAACCTGTCAATCTTACAGGATTTAGAGACATGCTTTTCTAATCAGGAGCTATTGCAACAACCTTGCCAGGATCTATGCCTTTTTTCGATTACACCATATTAAGAAAAGAAAGCTTTTATCAATTGTCATAAAGTCAAAGTAGCAATAAACCATTAACAACTAGTATTTAAAGAACAACCTTGGGATGTCACTAAATCAATCATTTAGAATCAAATGGCAACTGTATCCTACTGTGCTTCTCTACCTCAAGTCTCTAACAGAATTGACTGGAAACACACCAATATAACAGTTGAAGTATAGACCTGTAACATTCTGGTACCTAGTCTATTCTCCATACCTAATAGCCATTGCCATTGGTCACAGTAAAAGATGAACTTCAATTTGGAATAGTAACAATTAGTGTTTCAACCAACGTTCTGACATTGCATTATCAGATCAAGGGTCATGCCAACACTGGAACCACTAAAATGATTATTGGTCAAACCTTTGCCAAGTAGCAGCTAAATTAAAATTTTATTTCAAGGGCATCTTAAAGAAAGCCAAATCTGGTAATCTGCTCTTGAGTATGTAACAAGAATATGAAAACAATGCTTAATATGGACTTAAGGTCAGATACCTGTTTCAACCCTAAACTCCATTTTTCAATTCTACCCCTAAACTTCCAAAGTTTTAAGTATATCTTCTAACTTTTATATTATATCAAAATCACCAATTAATTAACTCCATGAAACAGAGATATGTACTTAGAAACAAACTTGGAAACAAAGATATAATTCATGGAAAAAATTACAACCTGATATATAGTTCAAAGGCAAAATTGTAACATACACACATTTTTTGGTTCTGTTAATTTCTTTAAAGGTATGCTCAAAGGGCAATTTTTAAACAATAAAAAAAGGAAGGAAATTTTTGAAATTTATATAAGTTTAAGGACAGATATTTGGAAAAATGAAACAGATTGTTAGCATGACATCTCATTGGGAGTTTGTTTCAAATTCTAGACTTGCCTTGTTCTTTTTTTCCCTTGTTTTGAACATGAAAATTAATTCAGAAGAAAAAAGAAAGCAGCTCGTCAATGGAACTCGGATAACAACTTTTTTTGGATCATGCAAGAGATTTAAAAATCAACTTGTCATTAATAATTCTTGTTTTGACTAGTCATCTAATTGGGAAGCAGATAGAAAAAATTTGCTCACAAACAACACTCCTAAAAATGATGACAATGATAATGATTCTCTAACCTGGTTGAAACTTTTGTGCCTTTACGCTTTAACTGGCTTTAGAATTCAGTGCCTTTTAGGCTTTAACTGGTTTTCGAGGGGTTGATACTCATACTACTTATCCTCATTCTTTATACTTATTTTAGTTAGCTTGTTTTGGTTTTAAAATTTTCAGTACATAGATATCGTTAGTGTTACTTAAAGTCTAACCTCAGACAGAAAACATTAAATAAAGCAAAAATCGTGTTAATTATGGTCAATCTGATAGAGGATTTGGATACTTTTCAAACAACTATGTGGAGCATCTCTTTCCTAATCAGGACCTCCAAAGATTTGTCTATCTGGTTATTACTTGAATAAGAAATCCAACAATATACCTAGGACCTATGCCTTCTTCATTTCCCTATAAGGACAAGCAAGCTTTTAATGTTATAAAATTAAGGTAACATCTGAAACATAAAGTACTTTAAGAAATGACTTAGATATCAATAAATTGATAATTTAGAACGAACAAACTCTAATTTACAGTGTGTCTCTACCTCCTACTCAACAGAGACATTTTCTTCAGACATGAGCTCAAATAATTGCTGACCAATAATCAAAATATAACAATTAAAAATAAAGACTAAAAAATTCTGATAGCTAGTATATTCTCCGTAACTTTTAGAAATAGACACCATTCCTATGATCCTATCCTACTTCAAACCCAATTTTATATTTCACTGCAAGCCTCTTTTATTAAAGTTAAATCTATTGTCATGTATGCACTAAATCGTTAAAACGTTTATCGGTCAAACCATACCCAGGGTATCAGCTAATTCATATTTTATTTGAAGTGCATCTCATAGAAAAGCCAATGGATGAATTTTACTTTGTGTGGAAAGTAAACATTTCTGGCACTAGGATTACTTTAAAAAAGAATACAGTGCATCAATGGGAACTGGAATCATGCATTTTTGGATCATATAAAAGATCCAAGAAGAAAACTGACAATAAGATATCATTGTTTTTTTACTAGTCATCGAATTGGCAGGTGATTGGAAGAAGTTGGCTCACTAGTCCTAAAACTCCTCAAAATGTTTAGTTAAATTTATTGATAGTTCATCCCTCTTCTACAGCTCTACAAAGTTCCTATCTGGACCAGACACTATTGAGCATGCCATGCGTGTACGTAGCATGATGGACACGACAAGCAATCCATACTCCACACCCCTATGCGCCTGAACTAATCAATGAGTCTTCTCAAATTACATAGGGATATTGAACACCATTTCAATTTAGACCCTTATAAAGTGCAAGTACAAGTCCATATAAAGGAAAGATAGAGTTGATGATGCAGTAGAGGACTTATCACCTGCTCCTTCACTGCTTCTTCCCTCTTTGATATTTGTTGCTGCTTCTGGGAGTTCTCCGCAGTCTCAACCTCAGGTACCAGTTGTTGCCTCCACTCGAACTGAGAAGTGATAATTAGAATAACGAACAAAAAGACAAGCAACATGGATCTGGACATCTTTCCAATAGGCTGTCACTGTACCTGCGCATAATTAAGATAAAGAGAAACAAATATCAGAGCCCACACATTGCGTTGCATTCCACGAAGACATAAAACACATGGCAGAGAAGTTCATCCATTCAATTACCACCTACAACAACCGGACAAAAATATGAAAGGCTCGGCGAAAGCAAGTCCGAAAATATAAAAACTACAGTAACAAAATAAACCTAAACCGATCGTTCCGATTAGGGGTTTGGTGGAGTTGAAAACGATGGAATTGGCTTAAAAATGAAGGAAATCAACAGGAGGATCGAAAATGAAGAAAAGAGGAACTTACATATCGAAAGACGTATGAGAATTGATAAAGCCCTAAGTTCATGATCAAAATTGGCGGCGAATTCGTGGTTGCTTCATGGAAACTCGGCTCTCGATGATGAAAAATCCGAAATCGCTCTCGAAGATTTAGAAGGGAATGTGGATTGTTTGATGATTAAGGAAGCGGAGGAAGATACGCACCCGTCTACTGTAATTTACCAGAGGCAGAGCTTTTGCGAAAATGCTAAACAGTTTATTTGTTACTTCAGACTTCAGAGGTACAGCACTCGTATTTACGAATTACGATTTACGAAGAAGGTCGCCGACAAAATACATACTCTCCGAATTCGACGCGCTTCTGGTGCACATTTCTACACACGCTCGCGTGACAATCACTGCCCACTGGTTTTACGTTTTATAATAATATTATTAAGCTTTGACTTTTAGGTGGTTTAAATACTATTTTGCAATTTGCCTATGTATTTTTAGTTTTGTCTTAGAAGGATTTTTCTATATTTGGTACCTTTTAGTTTATCTACTTTTAAAACATTCAATTTACCAAAGCAAGCATGAGTGATAATTAACATATATCTCTAATCGAGAGAGTGTAAGTTCGAATCCCCTCCCCAACATGTCGTATTAAAAAAAAACATTCAATTTGATTCACTTTTACTAAACGACTATCCATTTACGTTCTTTCTAATCTGTTTTTTTTATATAATTTTAGCATAACATTTCACTTGATAAGTTTTTTGAAATTTAGCGATAAACTTGCATTGAAAGTTTCCGTTGTGTGTAATTTTTGTGTTAAAATTATACAAATTAAGACTAAATGAACAAAAATTTAAAATATATGATGAGAAATAGACTTTTTGAAACTACAAACACTCAAATGAACCGAAGACGAACATTTATGAACCAAAACAATATTTATACTTATATGTTTTAAACTTTAATATTTGGATTGTTTTTTCAATTTAGTCTCTATTGTTAAAAATATCATCCTTTGACTTATTAGTTCAAAGGAGCCAAAGTAAATCAAAAGAGAATAAGTTCTAATCCTATGATGGTCACCTACATGATAATTAATTTCTTATGTATTTTCTATATGTTTTCTTGGTAATCAAATATATTATGATTAAACGGTTGTCTCATGAAGGAAAAAAAAGTTGATTTTTTTGACAATATGAAAATATGAATATGATTAAACGGTGGAGATAGAATTAAACCTCCGACCTCTAAGAAATATGAAAATAGTTTTTGACTTCTAAATCAAAGATGGAGATTAGAAGAATGAAATATGTCAGATGCATAAATTTAGCCTACTGGAAGTAGTAAATTTGAAACAATCTTGCATAACGAATAGTAGGATTCTGTAGTGTATAGATGACCTTCCTTTACCTTTTTCTATGGATTTGTGGGGATTTAGCATTCCATGGATCGGAATGGAAATCGAGAATCAACTTACAATCAGATAAATCCATTGTAAGTATGAGTGATGGTAATTATTAATTAGAATTTAGCAATTTACAATTCAATGGATCCCAATCCGATCGAGAGTCTGGAGAGCTACCCTACCACCACCAAGATATAACATGTAGACAGATCACAAATATTATGACAACAAAGATTACAACCCCAATGTCAATCTGCTCTTGCTTCTTCACTTTCATTCTTCTGCCTTGACATGGCAGCGCCTCCACCTCCGGCACGGCGGTTTGTGTGGGTGGGCGCGGGCGGGCGTAGGTCTCCGATTGGGAGAAGTTCATAATTACGGGGCTTGGATTATGAGTTTTTGTTTTACACAGTAAACTATCATCCAATGTAACTATGTCGTCATTCAAGAGATCCGCATACAACTCTTCCTCTCCAGTTCCACCATAATCCTTCACATAATTTTATTCACAATCACAATCCACCCCCATTACTTTACTTTACTTTACTTACCAATTTATTAAAACAATTTTAAAACTCACCTCATCACGACTGAGGGATTCTTGAAGCGCCGGATCGGAGGTCTGTTTCTGATTGGATTCGATGGCAGAATCAAATTGTTCCAGCGAGTGAGAATCGAAGCTGCTGCTGCAGTTCTTGGAAAACCTGTCACTTTCAACCCCGGCCCCGGCCCCCACCTTCTGGTCGTCGCCGTCGCCGGAGACCTGCCGTCTACTCGAACTGGCCTTCTGATCTGTGTTGCTACGGCGAAAATCGTTGTTCTTCCGGAGCCGGCAAACCACCATAGAATCCTGCAATTGCGTGCAGTTTTAAACCGTAATGGGTGTACCCAGAAGAAGAGAATTAAGAAGAATTAGAAATTGACCTGAGATTTGTCATTTAAGCAATATTCGTGCATAATCCACTCTGTTCTCTCCCCTGTTGGAGCACGCCCTAAATGGAACACCAGAGTTCTCTTGGTACCGATAATTTCACCGCCAGACTTCACGTTTCGCTCTTTTCCGGTGGCTTTCCAGTACCCCAATTCAGTGGCCCTCTTGTTTTGCGTTCCGTTTGGGTACTTTCTCCCCCTCGGAGAGAAGAAGAACCACTCGTTTTCTGAAGGGATTCTCGATTTCTCTGTTTTCAAATTCAACCCCATCCACTAATTAAAATTTGAATTTCAATCTAGACACTAAAATATTTAACTTAGAAACGAGTAATTAGGACTTAGAAGCAACCGGGCAAGTCCCATGGCTCGAATTTACAGATCTCGATCTCGGAAATGACATCGACGCTGTTGTCGGAGCCTTCCAGCTTCTTCTTAAGGTAAAATAAGATCAACTCTTCGTCTTTGGGGGAAAATCTGAAGCCCGGAAACATCGAAAGAGCCGCCATTGACATCTCTGCCTCCTTCGAAACTCCTCCCATTTTTTTTCTCTTTTCTTTCTGTTCTGTTGTGTTGGTTGAACCGTGAACACAAAACTGCTTTAGATGGGACAAAGTGTATTTACATTAGAATTCGTTTCTTTAAGGCTTCGGAAGCAGGAAAGAAAACTTCTTGCTCCAGTATTCGGATTCCGCTCAGCCTAAACCTCACGTTCTACACTTCCCTAGGGGTACGTGGCCGGCGCCTCTCCGCCCGCCGGAGATCGCATTCACATTAGCTACGCTTCCGCTCCAACTCGACGGAGACGTGGCCAACGCCGCCTGGGATTCTTACTGCCACGTAGTTACCACGTGGACTAAATCCAACTCAAGGGCAAGGGACCTAACATCGCCATCGCTTTGCTTTGGCATCAATTTTGAAACAGTCAAAATTCGAAATGCATTTATTTAATTCTAATTCTTTTTAACAATGCTTTACTACGCATTCTATTGGTTAAATGGCAGTTTCTTTTTTCTTTCCTTCATCACCACCACCGAACAAGGTTATTTAATTATTAAAAAGAAAACTGTAACAATCCATGAAATTGAGCGAAATTCTAAAATTTCCGAAGAGTAACAAATCTAAAAGAAGCATTATTATTAGATTGAAATGAAATTAAAGGAAAAAAGGGAAATTAAGATGTAATGGTATAGATAATATATTGGACGCCCGCATTCTGGCTGTATACAACTAACTCTATTTACATTCTTAGCCAAAATCAGCCGTTGGGAAGAAAAATTCTTAAAGCAAAGTAGTTCCCAATCCAAGAACAATAAATTAAGAAGAATAGTTTTTGTTTGTTCATCCCTTCATCACCACCACCGAACAAGGTTCATCAATTTGGAGAGGCATGGCATCCTCTGTCTTCTCCACTTTATTTTCTTCGACTCCTGAAACTGGAAATAGAATGTCCCGAAGGCACCTCACACCACCAGATTTCTGCTTGTGGGTAATTTGAATTTCACCGTCCCGCTCCCCGTCCCCCTCAAATTCTCCATTTTTACTACTACTGTTGAAGCAAATGCTCCCCCACTGGATTTTCTCCGAAAGCGACTTCCTTTCCTTCTCGAATGAGTTCCTTTTGGAGGCGTTGTGTGAGCCATGCACGAAACTCCACCTGTAGCTCTTGTTGTTGTTGTCCATGTTGAGCTCAATCGAGTGCAGATCGCTCTCCTCATCCCAATTACAATCCTCTTCTTCCTTGTTCTTGTTGTACGACCCGAAATTAATCTTCTTCAAATACGCCTCCAGCTCCTTGATTTTGTCGAGTTTGTTATTGAACGAATCTTGAGAATGATCTCTGTTTTCAACGAAATAGGCCTCGAGCTGGTCCTTGAGGCGCTCCACCGCAGCGTTTTTCTCTTCAAATTGGTACTTCGCCTCCGACAGCTTCATCTGAACTCTCTCCTCGCGTAAAACGTCGGCCAATTGAAGCATCTCCCTCTCTTTCTCCACTTCCTCTCTAACTTTTTCCGACTCCTTCCTCAGCTCCTCGAATTCCGCTCTGTCCTCTCCAATCCCTTTGGCCAACTCCTCGCAAATCTCCTCCAATATCTCCTTCGCTCGCTTTTCCCTGTCCACATCCTTCATCGCCTTCGCCACCGCAACTCTGGCCTCCCCAAGCTCTTTCCCGATCCTCTTGTTCAGCCTCTCTGCTTGCCTCCTCAGCTTCCTCTCCACCGCCACTTCCTCCGCCATTGAACTAATCGCACTCCCAACTCTCGCTCTCTCCTTGTACTTCCACGCAGCTTTCTCCTCCGCAAACCGCTTCCTCAGAGCCTCAATTTCGTCGCCGTGGAACAACCTCTGCTCGTCTCTCATCAAATGCTCCACTCGGGTCTTGGCCCGGTCCAGCTCCGATTTCAGAGCCGCCATCAGAGATGACGCCGATGATGGCTGCTTCTCATCGTGGGATCCCCAAACGTGGGTTAGAACTCTCACGAGCTCCTTCGATGTCGTCAGGCAATTGCTCACTTCCTTCAAACGGGTTTTCACCGTAAATTTCTTCTTCCGACGTGTCGTTTTTACCTCGCTACGATTTTCGATCTGCAATTCTAGAAAGTGTTAAATTCTTATTTTAATGTACTGAAAAAGCTGTGTATTATAATTGTGAATTTTTCTTTCTATTATAATGAAATGGTGCGCATGCCAATAATGGAGTTTTAATACTGCTACAGCTTTATTTTGTGGTCAAATTCAGTGCCTCTGTCCACATTTATTACATTCAGTTTTCAAACCCCAAATTTTTGTTCCTCGCAACTTTTTTCTAAAAGGAAAAAAAAACATTAAATTGCAAACTAAGTTTTAATTTAATCTTTATATTTTGTGTTTAATTACAATTTAGTTCTTATAGTTATAGTTCAGAGAATTTAGCTTTGGCTTTTATGATATAGCTGATAAAATTTAAAACTTTTGAAAATATGCCTCTAGTTTACTTTAAAAAAGGAAAGAAGTTAAAATGCATGTATTTCTTATTTAATCCACTGTATTATAGTTTAGAGTTGAAAATATAGGAGAAAATAGGTAAGTCTTGGATGGGAAAAGAACAATTTATAGATGACACGTGATTTAGCAAAATTATAGAAGCTAAATTAGAAGTTTTGAATAATGATAACCAAATTTAGAATTAAAGCCTAAGCTCCAGACAAAATAGGTAATTACAAAAAAAAAAGTAATTATTTATGGTTTATATATGGTAACCATATATTTACCAAGAACAAAAAAACCTTCACTTACTTACTCCTGATTAAGAGGAAAAATGTATAATTATTGATTTAGATTGTTTCTAAATCTATAACCATGAAATTCCTGAAAGCAAAAATTAAAAAAGAAAAGAAACGGGTATCATGAAAAAGGAAAGAAGAAAAAAGGGTTGGTGGAGAAGTACAAGTAGGAAATGACAGCAAAGAAAACCATTGATGGGACTGAAAGAAAACAGCGAGAAAAAAAATAAAAACGGAAAATTATGATTTTGTGGAAAGGCAGAAATAATAGATTTTTGGTATTTGGTATTTCTATTTGGTACCTCCATTAAACAATCGTTGCCCCGAAAATTGGAACCACCCACTTCAATCTCACCAATCCCAATCCTCAAAGAACATGCCGATCTTCTTCTTCTCTGTACTCTCCCACTGCCACCCTCGACTTTCTACACGAACGAATTTAATTAAAATTAACTCAAACACAATTCCCGATAAATGCAAAAATTGGTTTAAAAAAAAAAGCTGACCTCAGATTTGGTGTTGTTGAAATTCGGATCCGGATCTGATAAACACGAATGCGAGATCTGAGAAACCATTTCCCCGGTTTTGATCAGCTCCTTCTTATCTTCAAGTTCAACAGCATCTGAATTGTTGTTGTTCTTCAATTTCACACCTTTTCCGGCGGAAGAATGGGATTTTGTACTCATTTTCCACGTGGGGGATTTCTTGAATCTGTACTTGCGGACCAAACTCGAATAAGAAGAAGACGACGACCACGGGCCCTTTCGCTTTCTGATTTTACATCTCTTCTCTGTTTGCTGCTCTGCCCACGACATTATTTATGCTTCAAAAACCCAATTTCCAAACAAATGAAAAGAGAGAAAAAAAAAAATAACAAAATACACACACGCACACGCACACGCACACAACTCTTGCTAAATCTGCCATGAAATACTAGACATTGAAGAAATTTCTCATGATTTTAGGGTGTAATCGTAGAGTTTACTTACTGGGCTGCGGCTGTGGCTGTGGCAGAGATTGAGGTGAAGGCGAAGTTCATGTGGGATGATTGATTTTCAGTTTATAGTAAGGCAAGTTTCGAACAGTTAGCCTTGAATTCAGCGAAGGAAAAAAAATGAAATTATTAAAGATTCTATTTTTGGGCAGTCTTGAATCAAAGAGATCTCAAAACCCAGAAGAAAAACAGAGAGAGAGAGAGAGAGAGAGAGAGAGAGAGAGAGAGAGAGGCGTTTGGTTTGAACGGGATGGCTTTGTTTCAGAAATCTTAAGAGGAAAAGAGAAGGATGACGTGGCAGCCACGTGAGCAGCCAACAGTCAATCAGGGACTCGCATGTGGAAATGAGCGATTTAGAATCTTGACTGGGTTCTGTGTATTTACATTCCTGTCTCCTTTCTCCCCGTTAAGCTCGCCTGGAATGTTCTTTTTTTTTTTTTGCCCCTCCACCACCCCTGCATTTCCCTATATTTGCGGAAACGCCCCCAAAATTCCCCAAATTGCCAACTTCACCCTAACTCTGCAATAAAAAGAAACTGCGATTGCATTGGCATGTGGGTGCATAAATGTATTGTTTCGCTTCTCTAATAGTTTATAAATGAAGAAATAATTAATAATTCATTAACAGTCAACAGGACCTATCAACATTAATAACTTAATTCTGTATACCTGTTACTAATGAATAATGATGAGATAATAATACTATTGCCTCAGTCAATCATTGAAACCATTCTTTTACCTGATAATCCAAGGTCTAAACACATAATTAAAATTGTTAAACGACATTGTTTTGGAATAATATATAATTATCCCATGCCCCAAATGATGGTAAACGTTTGAGGTCTCTTGATTTGGATCTTGAGACGAACATAAATACCCTTAGATATAAAGGAGCAAAATTTCGACTCTCGATTATTAAAAGAAATTATTATATACCATAATGTTATGATATAAAAGATAGAGAGAGAAAGATAGTGGGGGTATGGTATGGGGCAAGGGAAGGGCCAAATGTTAGGCATTAGTTGAGTTGGTATATAATGGCTGTATTTTCAACATTGAGACAGAAAACCCCGTAAGAAAACACCCAAATCTTGCTATGAGGCCCCTCTTTCCCCCCACTTCCCCTCTTTTGTTCCTTAGTTCACAGCACATCATGTTAACTCCCACACTTCCAATCACTCCACCACCACCCCCACTGTTTCTCCCCCATTATCCATCCAATATACCGCTTTTTTCCGTCGTAATGTAGCCACTCCCTAGTAACATATCATATCATATATAGACGCCATGATACAAAATAGTTACGAACTACATTGTGGTGGTCACTTTCAGTAATTTCTCTAAGATTTTGGAATTGAAAATCTTCCGAATCTCATATAATTATGAAGATATGATAGGTATAATGGACACTCGTTTTAGGCTCCCATTTTAAACCAAGCCAGTAACTCAACCCGACCTTTTGCATCTTCAATTTCATCCTCTCTTGGCTTCATAAAAAGAGAAGAGTAGAAAAGCATTTAATTTTACCCAAGTAGAGCAGAAGAGAAGAGAGAACAGTTGGTAAAAATTAGGAAAGCAGGTGATATAAATATAAAATTTGATTGAAAGAGAGAACCCATAAAGGATTCACATGTTTTGGAAGATGCCACATGGTCGGTTTAACATCCTTGTAGCTGTTTTCGATTGATCATTCACATAATTAATTAAATTAATGGTTGGGGGGAAAAAAAAAAGAGTTGGTTTTGTTTATTTGGTAGTGAGCAGCAAAATTCAGAACACAACAAACAGATAGAAACCTGATGAAGTTGAGAGGTTCCAGTGAGATTGTGTCACAACTTGCATGGACGGATGGGATAATTCCAACCCCATTTTTCTACTCAATCTCTTTGTTTAATTAATCTTTCCCAATGTCAAATCAATCTTTCTTTTTTCTCTTGATTTTCAGTTTTCATACACGCCCGCCATTATTGGTTGTGTGTAAAAGTTGAGAAGAAAAAACAAAATCTTTTCCTTTCAACCACTTCCCATCCCTATATATGTTTGGTAGCACCACACACACAATTCAGTGGCTCCATATCATAGATTCAAATTCTAATAATTTCAACAAAATCATAATTTTACTCTCTTTGCTTAGGGCTAAAAACAGTGTTTTGACTCACGAAAGTTAGGTTATTATGTTTTAGGTTGATCCAATCTAAATACGAATTTTGACTCACATTCAAATAAGGTGAATTCACCCCAAAATATAGAAATCTCTCTTGAAATTCGTTGTTGTATATATTAAAACATAAATTTAACAAATCTAAATAACTTATCAATTCTAAGCTACATACAAACTCAACTTTTTTGCAATTTACCAAACAGATCATCCAACCAAATGGCTCCAAAAATTTACCTGTTGATTGAATCGAATTGGTCAAAGTTTATTTACTTGGTCGGCTGATACCTTTGAGTCTAATGAATCAGACTTATAAGAGCCATTTTCACTTGATAATCACATCATTTAGCTCAGATGCATTGCTTTCTATATATCCACATGTTTAATCAGTCTCTCATTTACTAATTAAGAACCACTCATCCAATTTCTTTTAAGTTGCCTTTTTCTTTTTTTATCACGCTACAATTTCTTCCTAATTTCAATTTTAAATAATATATATCTAGTTGCTATGCATCTTTTTACTATAGAACACATAAATAATTAGATTATCCAGGTATCTCGTTCTCTTCAAAGTGATTCATGTCCTCCTGCACTCTGTGTGTTTTATTTATCAACCACCAATGTTGTAGAAAAATAATAAAAGTTAATTTGTGAACCGAAGATTAAATAAAGAAGAAAAGAGGGGTAAGAAAAAACTTTTTATTAGAAAAAATAAAATAAAAAAGTTATTCTTCAAACTGCTTCTGCATCCAAAAAGCAAAAAACCTTGAACAGCAAAAGAAAAGTTGGGGTATGAATAAGAAAAAGATTTCCCATATAAGAAAGAGAGATTCCCTGTGATGCATTTCCATCTTTGAGATAGGATTTTTCTTTATCTTTTTTTTTTCATTCTAAAGTTATGTTATTCCCCCCAAGATTCTTAGTTACACTTACAAAGTACATATAACAAGGAAGGAAATAAAAATTTTGATGGATAGACAGATATTCTTAGGAATAACCTAGCAAGCAAAGACAAAAATAAAAGGGTAAAAAGGTACAAAAGGAACTTGTTTTGTTGGTGACTTTTAGATACAATAAATAAAATTATCATTATTGTTTTTTTAAAAAAATTATATTATACTCATAATATTATAGGTAGTTTTTAACCCTCTCCCTTTGACCCTATTTTCCCCCAAAAGTTAGGCTTCTGAACAAACCCATGTGCCAAACAAAACAAACATCCAAAGCCTCTGTTTTTAAGTTCCAAAAGAATTTAATTTCTTTCTTTCTCTCCTTCCTTTAATAATTAGTGCTTATCTTTAATTCAAATTTAATGTTGTCATTTTGAAAATGACCTTTCAAAATTCAAATCTTGCAAACCAGACATCTTTCTTGTCAATTCTATTATCACGTCATCCAAATCAAATCTGTTGTATATTTAATTTTAGTTGTTGTTGTATGTGGTAACCTTCTTTACGAATAAGCATCCAACTTTGTTTTTGTTTTTATTTTTTTCAATTGATTGGATGATGAATATAAGATAAGATTAAAAGGATAAGAAGAAATAAAATTTCTCAACCATTTTGTTATGACACTTATCTTTATAGCATGTAAGATTTATTTTATGATGGGGTACCAAAAAAGTGCTAAATAAATATATTTTTTTAAAAATCAAATTTTTTTCTAATTTAATATAATAATTGTTCTATAGTATACAATATTAATACTTAAACTTTGAATGTTCATAAACACAAATGGTCCCATGGTCTAGTGGTTAGGACATTGGACTCTGAATCCAGTAACCCGAGTTCAAATCTCGGTGGGACCTAACTTTTTATTTTATTTTTTGAATTATATATTTATCTCTTCCCTTTTACGAAATGTCTAAAAAAAACCAAGAAAGTCTGGAAACAGAAACTGGGCGGTGGGCAGGATGGTCATTATGTGTTTCCACGATTTTCTTTCTTTTTTTTTTTCTCATTTTATGTGAACGATGAAAGTAACATCTAAAAATCATATCGTATAGCAGGATGAAATTTTTATCACAATATAGTAACTGTTACAATTTTTATAAATTTCACTCAAATTTAAAATAAAATAAAATAAGAACAAAATTCTCAATAATATTTATTGCATTCTTCTTCTTCTTTAAGATATATTTATTGCATTCTAGATTTTAAATAATAATTTTTTAGTAACCTACAGTAAAGAAGTTATATGTTTCAACTATCCTCAAGTTGATAAATGAAGTATATTAATAAATAATAATATAATATTTGACCTTAATTTGTAATTTGAAAAATATATTACCATCAATGCAATATATTCGTTTAATTATTATGTTACGTTTGTAATTAACTTTTATTCTTAGTTTACAAGAGAGCAAATTTCAAATTCAATATAAAACTTTAATACAATTCCACCAAGCAATGATCCCTGCGGAATACAGGGATTAGGGACAATAGGGTCAAAGGGGCACTCACTCCTGGGTAGTAAAAAATAAATTATATTTCCATTATAATTTAATAAACTTGCATATTTGGTATCTTTGAAAACTATCAAGAGTACATTAAAAAAAAGGATATAAAGGTAATTTCTCAATTTAACCCATGCCTCGGCCCGATCCTTTGATTTGGGCTCCTTTTCCTCCGGGCCAAATCCAGATTTGGGCCAGCCCAATAGTCTTCAATGATATTTGTTCTTTGGATTTACCATAAATATGCAAACGAAAAGAAACGAGTCTTTTTAAAAAATAAAAATGAAAAATCTTTGTCATTACCTTTAAATGGAGAAAAATAACTGAGTTTTAAAATATTCAGCAGAATCTTATGACAAAAATTTTCCCTCTTTGCATTGCAAGCTTTTAATGAGGTTGCTAATTGGTTGAAAATGAGATAGAAAACAAGATTTGTGCATTAAATATTTATCCATTCCAACAACTAATTCATGTAGAAAAAAAAATTAGCAAACAAAACAAGAAGCTAACTACTAAAATGAAATAAGCATACTTAGCCATAAATGATAACAACTCTTTTATTTGACATTGAATGTTTAAATTTATTTAAACCCCATATTTTTTGTACTAAAAAAAAACTAATATGAAAATTATTATTAAATTACAAATTTAGTCCGTACAAGAGTATGAGAATTTGAACGAAGCATGAATATATACCTTTACCGTTAATTGAGCTATATGATGGCACAAATTTAGGCATTAAATTTTAATAATTATGTCTATTTAGTTTTTCTACTTTAAAAATTTTCAACCGTCTCAAAATTTTGAATTATAATTCTATCTAGTATTTATTAGTAATGCCATTGGTTAAATAATGACATTAAATGTTGTATTTTTTTTTTTTAAGAATGATAAGTGAGATATCTATTAAATAAACACCAACTAATTTTATATGATAGGTCAAATAAATGATCAAAAAAAAGTAAACAATGGGACAAATTAACACGTATACCACAAGAGAAGAAACACAAAATAATAGATAATCGTACATTCTTTTTATTTGTTTGTTGATTTTTTTGATGATAATACTATCGACTTTTTACACTCACCTTGATCTCATTCTATTCTTACAAATCACCATATATTTCACTCTTACATACCCTGACACAAATTTAACCCTTTAAAATTTAGGTTAAATTAACCATTTTGTTCTAATGATTCTAATTCAAGTTTAATTTCATCCATTAAAAATTTCAATTTATATAGTTTCGGATATAGTTGCACTCTATTTCTATAGTTTTAAAATTTTTGTTTCAGATTATTATGATTTAGTCAAATCACACCAACGATGGAATCAAATAAAAACTAACCTCACATGAGTTAAATTGAAAATTTAAAAATTACAAAAAAAGGAAACTAAGCTCAAATCCATTACCAATGCTTCTTAAAAAAATATATAAATAAATAAAATACGTATTAATAATTCAATCTTATCGTAATTCAATTTGTTAAAACATATACTGGGATAGTGCCACTTTAGACGTATTTGTCTTAGAAAAATATGCTAATTTGGAATAAAATTAATGGGAAAAAACGTGGGAAAATATCAATTTCGAGTGTTTCGTGGTCCCTCCGAACAGAACATTTAATCATAAATAGACTTTCGTGACTGATATGTTTGGAATAAAATATTGGTAATTCCTGTTAAATTACGGTCTTTAATTATGATAGAACGCCGAATAATAAAATTATGTGGGCCGAAGCCCACTTGTTATTATTGATGTTAATAGGCACCGACTCCCAATACTCATATTTAATGACACCGTTAATAAACAATTTTATTGATTTTTACTCAAAAAAAATCATTAAAATAACTATAAAGTCCAAGAATATATGAATAATTCTTTCCATAGGAAAATGGAGACCTCTTTCCTAATCTTTTATTATATCATTGTAACTGAATAATCCATGTTCATCTTGGGGAGATTTATAATAAGTTCGCCAAATAGCTATAATTAAATTGATTTTTTTAGTACAAGGTACGAGAATTTGAACCTCTAACATCAAATAAGAAGTAGACGTTATTTATCTTTAAACTATGCTCATTTTAGCATAATTAGATTGATTTTAAATGTGTATAATTAGTCAAAAATAAATAAATAAGTGATCRTGTATAATTGAATTGTTTTGCATTAAATTAACATTATGTGTATATATGATAGTCTAAACTTCATATACGCAGACATATTCTTAAATGTCTTTCATTAAAGGATAAAAGGAAAAAAAAAGTTGACTCCAAAAATAAATTAGTTTACGATAATTTCTTGTAAAGTGAGTATGTACTAATTTTTGATAGGTGAGAGAGAAGAGATGAAAGAGAGATAGAACATATGATGGCAATAGAGAAGAGATGAAAGAAAGAGAGAACATATGATGGCGATGATCAAGTAAATCTCTTGTTTCCAAATTCAAATTCATATATTGATATTTATAATAATTATATGCGCTGGACTTATAACCTTCGGATATTAAATATCGTTTTTACAAACTAACTTTTTTCATAGAATCCAATAATTTATTTAGATAAATTTCTCTATAACTAAAGGATACACATTCGAAATCTAACAAACTAAATTATGAATTTATAAGTTTGGAGGAAAATATACAAATTATGTAATAATTATTTGAAACTAACAGTAAAATGAATCTAAAAATATTAAAATACTAATAATTAATTTCAAATTTATTTTGAAATCGAAACAAGGGGCATATATTTGTGAGGGGAAAAAAAAAACTAGGAACGGAAAGGCTGTTTTTGAAATCCGTGAATAATAATAATACGATAATACCCCTACCCCACTTGAATTTGACAGATTTTGCGATTCCAGAGGATGGAAAATCTCATCTGCCAAAAGACCCTACCATAAACTTTTCATACTATTTCTTTAAAGAATTTTTTTTTTATTTTAAATCATAATTTTATCCTTAAACAAAATCAAAGATTCCAACCGACCTAGAAATTTAAATTTATAACCTCTTTATTATGAACTTGAGATTCAAACTTATTGATCATTAGATTCAAATTTATAATGTTTTGGTATTGAGTTTGAATTTATAATGTCTTGGTCATTGGTGAGTACTCATGTTGGATCGAACTTAAACTATTATTCAAATCCATAAAAAAAAAAGTAAAATGGAGAAATTTGAGTAAGTTAAACTATTACTCAAATTTATAAATAAGGTAAAATGAAGATATTTGAATTTATAAAATCTTGAGTCTAGATTATTGAGCTTGAGATTCGAACTTATAATAACTAAGAAATTAAGCTCATGTTGGCTCGTAACTTCAACTATTATTCAAATTAATAAAAAAATTTCATAGTCTTAATCGTTTTCAATCGCTTATTATTAATTATTAATTTTTGAAAATGAAACTTGCAGGTACAAAAACAGAAACGCACAAATTAAATTTTTATAATATTAGGAACCCCTGACATAAATACAATTAAACCCTACACAAATAGATGTGACCGACTTCACAAAAGTTACAACCTGGCCGATAAGAATAAGGTAAAGAAAATTAAAACAAAAAAGGAAATAATCAATTAAATTGGATTGCCAATTACTTTCTCTTCCTCACGAGAATATTTACACATTGGGAAATTGAGAGGTGTAAAAATGTTAAAAGAAAATAATAAAAATAATGGGTTATTTAGTGTTGTGATGTAATTAAATTAAGAAATAAGAAATGGGTGGCTATGTGGAGAAGAAGAGGAAAGAAGAGAAAGCGAAAAGAATGGAGATTCCAGTGGCAATGCACACCATATCCAAAGCATTCTCGATCCTCTCCTTCCTCGCCTTCCTCTTCCTCCTCATCTCTTCGTATTCTCTGAATCTCAATTTTCCTTCCTCTTTCTTTGCCCTAATTCTCTTCCCCCTTTCCATGGCTTCCCCCAAAATCCCCAAACTCTCCTTCCCGTTCAAATGCTTCCCTTCCA